TTTTTTGCAGGAATAAATTTTTACTAAAGCAATGAGTACTTTTATTTTCAAAATATCAGTTATGTGTGTTTAGAAATATAAAGTCATTCGGGTAATTTTTAAGCACTGTACATATTTATTTTTCCAGAAAGCAAGATTTTATGAGGTTGAATGGGAGAATTTGCGAAAAAACTTGCCCTGCATTGCTTATGGAGGAGTTGATATTAGGAGACTGTTAGATTCTCTATTTTCAAAGGGTATCATTAGTGAGTCAGACATGGAGAAAATTGAAGGCCAGCAAACATCATCAGACAAATGCAGTCTATTACTACGTAAGGTATTGAAGTGCTCTTTGGATAAGGATCCTGTGGAGCACCTGCGACAATGCTTTGTTGACCAGGGTCGGGGTGATCTGGCTGATCTTCTGGCAGTGAAACCTGAGGATGTACAGGAGTCATATAGCTCAGATGAACCCATGAGACCTGATGAACAACCAGCACTTAGACAAATTCAGAGTCCTGAAGTAGCTGCATAGTTCTCACCATATGTGACAAGTCACTTTCTTGATCTAGAGATGAACCCTTACAGTAATTATGAATGTCTTATAGGAAGTTGGCCTAATATTCTATATGGTCCCATAGGATGTCCTACCAGACCATGTAGGACATCTGCCCAAAATCCTAGCTGTAGAGGTCCTTTTGCACATTTTTCCTAAAGGGTATCCTATAGGAAATTGTGTAGGGATAAGTCTAAGTATTCAGATATTTTGGTGTTGTGATGCTGTATTTATGCCCTCGATCCAGACCACTGTTGCTTGCATTTTCAAGATTTTTTAAAAGGTCAACTTTCAACTCTGTTGAGCAGAGTTATGAAATAATTATTATTGACCACATATTTCATTTATTGATTATTTATTATCAATATTGTTTTGCTTAAGAAGCTCATTTACACCTGTTGGTTGCTTTTAACTTAGTTTTTATATAGCTAATTATAATGCGAGTCTTTTTATTTATTTATTCTTTTGAGGGGAAGGTGCTTATAGTTATGATCACGTTGATTGGCATTAATGAATATATCGATACATGTAAAAGCTTGCAGTTTGCATTCAAAATATATATCTTGAGTGTAAAAATAAGTTCATTAGGATAATGATGTTATATCGTAGAGTTTATTTTTTATTTTTTGTCTCCGTGAAAGATCTATTTTCTTCAACTAACATCACTGGAAAATGTGATTTTGACCATGCTGCTACCAAGTGCATGACCAAACAAACGCAATAGTGCTATTTTTAAGTTCAAGAAGTGTGGGTATTTTGCTTAAGAAAGATAGACAAGAAGCAGACAGTCAAAGAATACGGTTACCTTAATTATTATGGACGGAGAAAATAGAAAGGTTAATGACTGAAAGTTTTGACTTTTGATATTTACACACTGTCAGGTTAGTTGAAAACATGCCTAATGAAGGGGGCCATGATGAACTATAAGCTGTATGAAAGGTAACTATGGTTGGGGGAAATAGAGGAGCAGCTTGGTTAACCTGTGTGTCCAACCTTGATATGCTACAGGATAAACAGACTATTATTATACTGTATAATATGCTTCATTTCAGATAGAACATATGTGCATTAGTATATATGAAATGACCTTATATCTTTTTTCAGGTTTCAGTTTATCATAATTATTTGGTTGTGAAATGATTGCCTTAATTTTTAAGGCTTTAAAATGTGGTGTTGTATTGTAGGCATATATACCACTTTAGTTATATTTTAATTAAATTTATTTTATACTATTTTTTAAATAAAAATTTTATCTTTATAAATGCAATATACAGTGTATAATATCTACCCTTCACAAAATAGTGATTTTAATATTAAGCAGTGTTTTACTTTAACAGATGTCTACTCTGTTCTGATTTTGTTTCCGTTTGACGAAGTTGTGATTTTATATACAGAGTATATATATAGATATATTATTTGATCTTTCCAGTCAGGGAAAATTGTAAATTTTACTGGTACTGTATTTTTTATTCATATTTTTTAATTAAACACAGTGGGGTGGTACATGTAGCAATGAAGTTAAAAAGCAAGCTTCTCTGTACTGGTAGTTCTATTATCTATCAGTAAAAGCACCACCAATCCTACATGCATAGAAATACAATTTTTTTTTTTTTTTTTTTTTTTTTTTGGGATTGTAAAATCATAATATTATATGTTTCTGAGAGTATGATGATTTAAAAGATTTTTAACAGTATATCTACTATCTCCACTATGCAGTTAGCTACCAGAGACTTTGTTGATCTATCTATTGATTTATCTACTAAAATAAGATAACACTGCTTTTCAAGAGTGTTTATGTAAACAGCATATAAGTTCTAGTTAAAGTGATTGTGATATTGTGATATGTGAATCGTTTTTACTGAAGCATGGATTTATGCAAAAAGGGAAAGATTTTATTAGTACATAGTGATTTCTATTTCAGTATTTTAATGTGATATCAGATCAGATGGTTACAAATAAATATAAATGAATATAAAGGTATTTGTATCAACCTTAAAGTAATTAGTGCACGGTCCCTGTAGACTGTTTTTACTGATGTAGAAGCACATAACAATGACTGACTTTTATTCATAATATAAGTACATTATGTTTAACATTCCGAGTATGGTTATTAAGTACATCAAATGTTACTAATAACTACAAGTTATATGCACATTCCATTCACATAAGATGTATACAAATTAAAGCTCTTGTATCAAAATTTAATCTTTCAACATTAAAGTACTACTCAAGTTATGTAATAGATTAAGTATTAGCTGCTGCCATAAAAAAGTACTCAAGCTAATTAATATGCGAGAGACTTAAGTACTAGTACTATGTAAGTCACTACTAGTGTTTGTAACTAGATAAAAGGAATGTGCAGCAAACCATCACAGATAAGCAATTACACATGTATGTGTACATTATCAGATGTCACTGATTAATAAAATCAATCATTCTTGTACTACATGTTTCAGCAAATTTTAAGTCAAAAGTCATGAGCATTTTAACTGCATCATGGGCCCACAGCATAAAATTTCAGANAGTACTACTCAAGTTATGTAATAGATTAAGTATTAGCTGCTGCCATAAAAAAGTACTCAAGCTAATTAATATGCGAGAGACTTAAGTACTAGTACTATGTAAGTCACTACTAGTGTTTGTAACTAGATAAAAGGAATGTGCAGCAAACCATCACAGATAAGCAATTAGACATGTATGTGTACATTATCAGATTTCACTGATTAATAAAATCAATCATTCTTGTACTACATGTTTCAGCAAATTTTAAGTCAAAAGTCATGAGCATTTTAACTGCATCATGGGCCCACAGCATAAAATTTCAGAGGACGGTGGCTTTTCTTTTGAAAAGGTGGACCTTTAACCATTAATGCATGGACCCCAGATCCAATTTTGATTCAGTGGAGCATCCGTCTCCTGCCCTATGTTTCTATCACAGTAAAGCCCCATTCACACCGGATGGTGTCCCTTCTGCGTCCTATAGTGAGGCTCTGTTTGTGAGTAAAAAAATAAATATACATACTGGCTGATCACTGAGCAATCATTTTTGCAACCAAAAAGATGTTTGTGCCTCCTTTTAATGACCACAGCGATGTCAGTTTCATGGTCACACAAAGAACGCAGAAAGGGCAATGTCCAGTGTAAAGGGGGTTTATGGCACCAAGAGTGGCATCTGTTATAAAATCATGGCAAACCCCATAGACTCGCACTTCTATATAAACTCCCACTCTTCAGATCTGCCTGCTGTGCCAGAATTTCGATTATTTTGTTCCTCTCTGTTGTGATTGGTCACCTGGCTCTTGCGTAATTCTCTATATATCCAATTATAAAGACTGGCCAGAGCCTCTTTGGAAGCCGAGCAACGACTCTCTGAGCACTTGTCCGCCATCTGGAGCATGATTTTACGCACAATTTCTTCAGAGCGATGGAGGATCACATGTTCTATTTCTGCCTTCTGATTGGACGTCACTTGCTGCTGTGAGCTTCGCCTAGTTTTGGGGAGTTTGATGACTCTGTGATTCTGTAATACAATATTCATTAATACAGTAATGTATTACAGTAATCATTAATGATTCAAAATGAAAATGGAACCTGACAGTCTTATCACAGATATACTGTAAGCATCATAGGCCATAGACATAAATATATAAGGTCCAGAATGTTTGTATTCACAGTTGAAAGAACTGGGGAAAAATGCACATTGTTCAAGTGCAGGTGGTTGGAACAAATGGAAAACATTGCAGTTTTAAAATCTTGGAGCTCTTTGGAAAAAGAAAAATAATTTACAAAACTCCAGCAAAATATAATTAAGTCCAGTATTTTGTACCACTAAACAGCAATCTTTGTCTTTAAACCCTCTCTCATGTAATGTAACACACATGTAACTGCACCAGAGAGCCATATATTCAATGTTCCATATGTACCATATAACAAACGCTGCAATAAGCATTACTCACTGTTGTGATTCAATATTCATATCAAATTATCAGGACTTGGATCATAATTTCTTTTCTACAGTTTGTGAATTTCCTCCTACAGACAAAATTTTATTGTTTGAAACTAAACAAAAATGAAGTTTCACTTTCACTTTTGGATGTGCATGTGATAGCTATGTTAACTAAGAAAGCATTCACAACCAGTTGATCCATGAACTAACTGATTCAAGGGTCAAATAATGCCCGGCTCACTTTAAAACATGCCAAGATCTAATTCCTCTGCCTAAGCTAGCACAGTGGGCATGGGATTCAGGAATCCATTGTCAAGGGTGTGCCATTTTTTGATCTGAGGTCTAGTAATTCCGCAGGTTGGGAATGCGACATTAGTAATTTCCAAGTTCAGCAGAACTTTCTTTTTGTAAATTCCTCTAATGGTTTTTAAATAATTTACTTTTTTTCTAAAATATGTACCTGTATCTGGTCCTTCAATACATTGTTAATATCTTCCTCACTCTCTGCCCAGTCATCTTTACAATCCTTTATACACTGCTTCAAGTCTTGGCAAACGACCTGAAACATCAAAGTAGGGTTTACATCAGATTCAGCTTGGAACCTTGCTTGACTATGTGCAAAACAGAGAGAGAGAAGAGAAAAGGAGGAGGGAGAGAGGGCATCTTTACCCTCAGGATCCCAAAATCTTAATGTTGTAAGTCGAAGAGAAATTTGTGTTTCTGATGCACTAGAATGAACTTACATGGGCGCACACACACACACACAAAGAAACAGTAAATGCAGTTACAGAGCAGTGACTGTGACAATTATTTTCAAGGCCACAATCGTACATGTGATCATGCATATATGAACACACACATGCACATATATAAAGATATGCATGTACACAAATACACATTAAACTCACCTCCTCGGCTTCTGCAAACTGAACAGGCACTGTGTTGTTCAAGGTGAAATTGTCACAAAGCATCAGACTTTCCAGAGCTAGCTGCTTCAAGAATACGTAAACTGCTCTCATGGCCTGGAATAATGTGCCAGCAATATAATATGAACACCTCATGATCTACAGAGAACAAATTGAATAATATTCATTTATTGAGAAACTAACATCCAGAAAAAGTCCTGTGGACTACACAACATAAAAAGGTGCCTTAAGACAAAATCATAAATTTTAAATTGAATACAAATTGGTCAGAAGAGAGGATAATCTTAACCTTTATATTATATTTATAATGGTAAATCATTAAGAGAGAGGTAAGGGTCAAAGTAAAAAAAAAGTACCAATTTTTTATTTTTGTTATTTTAATAACAAAATATTTAAATACACTTTTAACAAATGTGACACAACTTGCAGTACATGTTAAGATCATTATAGTACTGAAATCTTCTCTCCTGCTGTCTTTGTTATTAATTGTCTCTCTCTATGGTAAATAAAATTAACACATCATCTGTGCCTACATTTCTATCCACAAATTTCTGAATGGTTTCTAAGATGTCTGCGGAGGTGAGCGTGGTGTCCTCCAAGGTCTTTCTCAACTCACGGAACAGGAACACGGTCTCTTGGTAAAAATTATAATTACCCTGAATGGAGGAGAAAAAATAGATTAACAACAAAATGCACTTCAAGTGATGTATTAAAAACACTTGTACATTTATTTTAAAGCAAAGAAATTGAAAGCCAAGAAAAAAGATTATATTTATGTTTATATAAAGTTTATGGCACATTTATACACCACTATCGGTAGATAAGCCTGTTAAATGCATGCATTCTCACACTGACATGCACACATGGTCACCGCACACACACCCGCACACAAACACACACACACACACACACACACACACATATTTAAGAACACCGGCTTACCCTGACTAGATTCTTCAGGACAGTGGTTTGTTGTGTTGTGGAGGGTTTGATTCCTCTGATGCTCTCTACTGCCAGAACAAATGTCACAAACAGGTCTGACATGTCACACTGAAATTCGACACTAACTTACATTTTGACACCAGTAATATCTCCACTATACTGATATAATTATTAGATCATAGGCATTTCCAGTTCTGACAAATTATGTGGACTTAATCTCTTCCCATTGGCCCAAGATTATATAATTATATTTATTAATGTCTCCATAATATTCACAGTCATTAAATGGACTTTTCTACTTCTAAATATATAGTAATGTGTATGACGAATACTGTTCTGTTTGTATATGAGACATAAAACTCACCTGTGCCCTGGCAAGGACTTGTATGCCATTTTGTTTGTATGTGAGATATATAAAACTCACCTGTGCCCTGGCAAGGACTTGTATACCATTTTGTTTGTATGTGAGATATATAAAACTCACCTGTGCCCTGGCAAGGATTTGTTTACCATTTTGTTTGTACATGAGATATATAAAACTCACCTGTGCCCTGGCAAGGACTTGTATACCGTTTTCTCCCTGTAGACTTGCTCTTGGCGCCCCACTGTCGATCCCCATTGTGTTGATGTGCTCCTGATACTGGAAGGTTGTTGATTTGATTCAAACTTAATTTTCAAATACTTTCTTATATGAATGACAAATACATCTACATGTATAATTTTACAATCACAAAATTACACTTTTGTGTAGCATTTGTGGTGCTTTCACTGCACAGAATGGAACTGAACAGTAGCTTGTTTTAGAATTCTGCTGCTTCCACTCGACAGAAATTTCTAATTTTAAGATATTATCACTTAAAAATACAGAGTGTATGAAAATTTCAATTTTTTCCCTGAGTTGAAAAGATTGAATAATTACCGTATATGTGTCTCAAACCAGAAGAAATCTTTAAAGAGTGATGATAGAGAATACATTAATAATCTTCCCTTGGACTCTCAAAGGTTTCTTAACTGTCTCCATGATTTCATAATTGACATTTTTCTAGTAGTCAAAGAGAGAGAAAAAATTTAAACATTCCTGTGCTAAATATATTTTTTGCCATAAACCACATATGATAAGGGAAAATCATTAAAGAGTAATGGCAGAATATACATAAGACATCCATTCACCTTAGGTAAATGAGCACTGATCTTTGCTCTTATTCTGGAAAGTTTCTTAGCTGCCTCCACAATTTTTGTCCAGAACAGCTCAGTTTTCTGAAGCTGGTCCGTCAGCGTCTGCTGCATCTTCTGCACTTGTTTCTCCTCCAAATATAGGTGGCACTGTGAGCAGATCCGCAGATATACACACATGTCAGGTTCGCGCTCAGGACACTAATCATGAAAATACCAACAAAAGGTGTTGGAAATATGAAAGAGGTCATTTACACACTGTCCACTTTTTTGAAAGTTGAGGTGTCAGTGATCTTACTACCATTTATAGTTTCAACCATTTAATTTTTTTTTTTGCTGGAAATACTGGTATTATATAATGTAGGAACTATCATGTCCAAAACACTTCAAAAAAACAGTATTCATTTTTATTAATGAGACTGAATGTAAAGGTTAAAAATATGTTACTATAAAATTATAAACTAAACATGGAATCTTCCCAGAGAATACCTACCAAAAAGTTCAAAACACACCACTCTCAGTGCAGGAAAACCATGATATTCTACATACACAATGATAAACATGAATAAGTCTAATCATTTTTATTCTACAGGATGAATAACAACATTCACTCATCTGATACACAATGTTTCAAAACTACTATCCAAAATTATAATACCAATAACTTTCTGAGAGATCTCACCCCAACAATTTTTATCACAGCAATTCTAGGCTCTGGGTCTTTGGACCCCTTCTCCTCATTGGGTATGTAGACAATCAGGTCCTTACTACAGCAGTCGCCACAGGCCATGAAGCCGCAGACGGTGCACGGGTGACGACGGTTCTGCAGCAGCCCAAACTCCTTGTTACAGTAACAACACATTGTGGATAAACTGGTATACTGGAAGTATGAAAAAGAAAATTTATCTTTTTTTGCAGGATCCCGAATTTTCATTTTACAATCAAATTTTTCCTAACTTGAGATTCAATGCCCATGGAATACCTTTGTCAGTGTGAGTCACTTACTGTAGATGGCGCTAGTGCCACCTTCCATCAGAAGTAAAAGCTTGCATTTACGGTAGATCATTAGATATATTGCATTTTCAAATAACCCTGCCAGTCCAGAGGACCGGCTATATCAAAATTTTGCAGGTGTAGTAGTCTGGCTTTTAAAGCAGTCATGACCCAATGGATGGATAGTTTTTCCATGATTGTTAGTACTGTCTGTATTGTATAGTATGGCATGGTATATCTTACTAACAGACACATAGGCGTATGTGGATTGACCCAACTCTGCAGGGATTCTCGCTGAGTGCAATCAGCATAACACATTAACACGCCTCTTCCTCGCGTAAAGTAGAATACAGAAAAGCTGGTGATTATATGAGCTGGAAACAAAAGGAGGCATGTGGTTCAGTAAAGCTGATTGTACATAACGAGAGTCCCTGCAGACTTGTGTCCATCAACATAGATCTTCGTGTCTATTGAAAAATTTAAAAAAAAAAAAAAAAAATTGTATCTGTCCGGTCTCACCTCCCAGTAGGTGGCTCTCTGCCAGTCTGGAGTGCCCACCATTTTACGTAATTCCAGGAAGGTCCTCCTCACCTCTGAGTTCCCCACGCTCTCTTTGAATCCCTCCTTAAGCCGTCTCACCTCCATATCTATATCTATGCTGAATGAACAATAGAAAGTATGGAATGAGGAAATTCTCTCCCCATTAATATAGACACTCACTATATAACTCTCTCTCTCTCTCTCTCTCTCGCTCACACACACAAACACACACACAGACACACACGTAAACTAACATTCACTTTTTCTCTCTCCCTATCATGCTGTCTCAGTGTCTTTTAGGTAAACACACATGCACATACACATACACACACACAAACATACACAACTTATTGCACTCTTTCACACACACGCACACACACTCAAACACAGACACACACACACTCAAACACAGACACACACACACTCAAACTAATATTCTTTTTCTCTCTCTCTCCTTATCATTCTGTCTCTCTGTCTCTTTTATGTACACACACACACACACGACTTATTACACTAAGTGACTCTCAGACAGTGTATCAATCTTGTGTGTGTGTCTGTAGTCTTATAACTGGGTATCATAAGGCCTAACACTGTATATAAGTACAGTGTGTGCATAATGGGATGTCAAAAATCTTTAAAAGGGAAAAAGTATTCATAATAATAATAATAATTACCATAATACTTTTAATAATAGTGCCTTACCCCCCCCCCCCCNTTTTTAGAAAAAGAAAAATAATTTACAAAACTCCAGCAAAATATATTTAAGTCCAGTATTTTGTACCACTAAACAGCAATCTTTGTCTTTAAACCCTCTCTCATGTAATGTAACACACATGTAACTGCACCAGAGAGCCATATTCAATGTTCTTATTGTGTACCATATAACAAACGCTGCAATAAGCATTACTCACTGTTGTGATTCAATATTCATATCAAATTATCAGGACTGGATCATAATTTCTTTTCTACAGTTTGTGAATTTCCTCCCACAGACAAAATTTTACTGTTTGAAACTAAACAAAAATGAAGTTTCACTTTCAATTTTTGGGTGTGCATGTGATAGCTATGTTAACTAAGAAAGCATTCACAACCAGTTGATCCATGAACTAACTGATTCAAGGTTCAAATAATGCCCGACTCACTTTAAAACATGCCAAGATTTAATTGCTCTGCCTAAGCTAGGACAGCAGGCACGGGATTCAGGAATCCATTGTCTAGGGTGCGCCATTTTTTGATCCGTGGTCTAATAATTCTGCAGATCAACAGGTTGTGAATGCAACCTTAAAAATTTTCAAATTCAGCAGAAATTTTTTTTTGTAAATTTCTAAAATGGTTTTTAAATAATTAACTTTTTTTCTTACATGTACCTGTATCTGGTCCTTCAATACATTGTTAATATCTTCCTCACTCTCTGCCCAGTCATCTTTACAATCCTTTATACACTGCTTCAAGTCCTGGCAAACAACCTGAAACATCAAAGTAGCGTTCACATCAGATTCAGTTTGGAACCTCACTTGACTATGTGCAAAACAGAGAGAGAGAAGAGAAAAGGAGGAGGGAGAGAGGGCATCTTTGCCCTCAGGATCCCAAAATCTTAATGTTGTAAGTCGAAGAGAAACTTGTGTTTCTGATGCACTAGAATGAACGTACATGGGCGCACACACACACACACACACACAAAGAAACAGTAAATGCAGTTACAGAGCAGTGACTGTGACAATTATTTTCAAGGCCACAATAGTACATGTGATCATGCATATATGAACACACACATGCACATACATAAAGATATGCATACACACAAATACACATTAAACTCACCTCCTCGGCTTCTGCAAACTGAACAGGCACTGTGTTGTTCAAGGTGAACTTGTCACACAGCATGAGACTTTCCAGAGCTAGCTGCTTCAAGAATACGTAAACTGCTCTCATGGCCTGGAATAATGTGTCAGTAATATAATATGAACACCTCATGATCTACAGAGAACAAATTGAATAATATTCAAGTGCTGTGGACTTCACAACATAAAAAGGTGCCTTAAGACAAAATCATAAATTTTAAACTGAATACAAATTGGTCAGAAGAGAGGATAATCTTAACCTTTATATTATATTTATAATGGTAAATCATAAACAGAGAGGTAAGGGTCAAAGTAAAAAAAAAAAGTACCAATTTTTTATTTTTGTTATTTTAATAACAAAATATTTAAATACACTTTTAACAAATGTGACACAACTTGCAGTACATGTTAAGATCATTATACTACTGAAATCTTCTCTCCTGCTGTCTTTGTTATTAACTGTCTCTCTCTATGGTAAATAAAATTAACACATCATCTGTGCCTACATTTCTATCCACAAATTTCTGAATGGTTTCTAAGATGTCTGCGGAGGTGAGCGTGGTGTCCTCCAAGGTCTTTCTCAACTCACGGAATAGGAACACGGTCTCTTGGTAAAAATTATAATTACCCTGAATGGAGGAGAAAAAATACATTAACAACAAAATGCATTTCAAGTGATGTATTTAAAACACTTGTACATTTATTTTAAAGCAAAGAAATTGAAAGCCAAGAAAAAAGATTATATTTATGTTTATATAAAGTTTATGGCACATTTATACACAAGACCACTATCGGTAGATAAGCCTGTTAAATGCATGCATACTCACACTGACATGCACACATGGTCACCGCACGCACACCCGCGCACAAACACACACACACACATGAAGACATACACATATTTAAGAACACAGGCTTACCCTGACTAGATTCTTCAGGACAGTGGTTTGTTGTGTTGTGGAGGGTTGGATTCCTCTGATGCTCTCTACTGCCAGAACAAATGTCACAAACAGATCTGACATGTCACACTGTAAGATGACAGTATCATACACTTAGACAATTAGATCACAGGCAATTCCAGTTCTGACAAATTATGTGGACTCAATCTCTTCCCATTGACCCAAGATAATATTATAATTATTTTTATTAATGTCTTATAATACTGACAGTCATTACATGGACTTTTCAACTTCTGAGTAGTAGTGTGTATGATGAATAGCATTTTGTTTGTACGTGAGATATATAAAACTCACCTGTGCCCTGGCAAGGACCTGTGTACTATTTTGTTTGTACGTGAGATATATAAAACTCACCTGTGCCCTGGCAAGGACCTGTGTACTATTTTGTTTGTACGTGAGATATATAAAACTCACCTGTGCCCTGGCAAGGACTTGTATACCATTTTGTTTGTACGTGAGATATATAAAACTCACCTGTGCCCTGGCAAGGACCTGTGTACTATTTTGTTTGTACGTGAGATATATAAAACTCACCTGTGCCCTGGCAAGGACTTGTATACCATTTTGTTTGTACGTGAGATATATAAAACTCACCTGTGCCCTGGCAAGGACTTGTATACCATTTTGTTTGTATGTGAGATATATAAAACTCACCTGTGCCCTGGCAAGGACTTGCATACCATTTTGTTTGTACATGAGATATATAAAACTCACCTGTGCCCTGGCAAGGACTTGTATACCATTTTCTCCCTGTAGACTTGCTCTTGGCGCCCCGCTGTCGATCCCCATTGTGTTGATGTGCTCCTGATACTGGAAGGTTGTTGATTTGATTCAAACTTAATTTTCAAATAGTTTCTTCTAAGAAAGATCACATGTTCTATTTCTGCCTTCTGATTGGACGTCACTGGTTGCTGTGAGTTTTTTCTAGTTTTGGGGATTTTTATGACTCTGTGATTCTTTACAATCACAAAATTATACTTTTGCGTGGCATTTGTGGTGCTTTCACTGCACAGAATGGAACTGAACAGCAGCTTGTTTTAGAATTCTGTTTCTTCCACTCGACAGAAATTTCTAATTTTAAGATATTATCACTTAAAAATACAGAATGTATGAAATTTTCAATTTTTTCCCTGAGTTGAAATAATTACCATATATGTGTCTCAAACCAGAAGAAATCTTTAAAGAGTGATGATAGAGAATACATTAATAATCTTCCCTTGGACTCTCAAAGGTTTCTTAACTGTCTCCACAATTTCATAAATGACATTTTTCTAGTAGTCAGAAAGAAAAAGTTTAAACATTCCTTTGCTCAATATATTTTTTGCCATAAACCACATCTGATAATGGAAAATCATTAAAGAGTAATGACAGAATATACATAAGATATCCATTCACCTTAGGTAAATGAGCATTGATCTTTGCTCTTATTCTGGAAAGTTTCTTAGCTGCCTCCACAATTTTTGTCCAGAACAGGTCAGTTTTCTGAAGCTGGTCCGTCAGCGTCTGCTGCATCTTCTGCACTTGTTTCTCCTCCAAATATAGGTGGCACTGTGAGCAGATGCGCAGATACACACACATGTCAGGTTCACGCTCAGGACACTTATCATGAAAACAAAAAGGTGTAGGAAATATGGAAGAGATCATTTACACACTGTCCACTGTTTTTAAAGTTGAGGTGTCAGTGATCTTACTACCATTTATAATTTCAACCATTTAATTTTTTTTTTTTTTTTTTGCTGGAAATACTGGTATTATATTATATAGGAACTATCATGTCCAAAACACTTCAAAAAACAGTATTCATTTTTATTAATGAGACTGAATGTAAAGGTTAAAAATATGTTACTATAAAATTATAAACTAAACATGGAATCTTCCCAGAGAATACCTACCAAAAAGTTTAAAACACACCGCTCTCAGTGCAAGAAGATCATGATATTCTATATACACAATGATAAATATGAATAAATCTAATCATTCTTATTCTACAGGATGAATAACATAATTCACTCATCTGATACACAATGATTCAAAACTACTATACAAAATAATAATAACAATAACTTTCTGAGAGATCTCACCCCAACAATTTTTATCACAGCAATTCTGGGCTCTGGGTCTTTGGATCCTTTCTCCTCATTGGGTATGTAGACAATCAGGTCCTTACTACAGCAGTCGCCACACGCCATGAAGCCGCAGACAGTGCAGGGGTGGCGACGATTCTGCAGCAGTCCAAACTCCTTATTACAGTAACAACACATGGTGGATAAGCTGGTATACTGGAAGTATAAAAAAGAAAATTAATCTTTTTTTTTTGTAGGATCTTTAATTTTTATTTTACAATCAAATTTTTCTTATCTTGAGATTCCATACCCATGGAACACCTTTGTCAGTATGAGTCACTTACTGTAGATGGCGCTAGTGCCACCTTCCATCAGAAGTAAAAACTTGCATTTACAGTAGATTATTAGATATATTGCATTTTCAAATAACCTTGCCAGTCCAGAGGACCAGCTATATCAAAATTTTGCAGGTGTAGTAGTCTGGCCTTTAATGTAGTCATGACTCAGTGGATGGGAAGTTTTTCCATGACTGTTAGTACTGTCTGTATTGTATGGTATATCTTACTAACAGACACATAGGCGTATGTGGATCGACCCAACTCTGCAGGGATTCTCGCTGAGTGCAATCAGCATAACACATTAACACGCCTCTTCCTTGCGTAAAGTAGAATACAGAAAAGCTGGTGATTATATGAGCTGGAAACAAAAGGAGGCGTATGGTTCAGTTAAGCTGATTGCACATATGGAGAGTCCCTGCAGACTTGGGTCCATCAACATAGATCTTCATGTCTATTGAAAAATTTAAAAAAAAAAAAAAAAAAAATTGTATCTGTCCAGTCTCACCTCCCAGTAGGTGGCTCTCTGCCAGTCTGGAGTGCCCACCATTTTACGTAATTCCAGGAAGGTCCTCCTCACCTCTGAGTTCCCCACGCTCTCTTTGAAACCTTCCTTAAGCCGTCTCACCTCCATATCTATATCTATGCTGAATGAACAATAGAAAGTAAGGAATGAGGAAATTCTCTCCCCATTAATATAGACACTCACTATATAACTGTCTCTCTCTCTCTCTCTCTCTCTCTCTGTCTCGCTCACACACAAACACACACAGACACACACGCAAACTAACATTCACTTTTTCTCTCTCCCTATCATGCTGTCTCTGTGTCTTTTAGGTAAACACACATACACATACACACACACACACACACACACACACACAACTTATTGCACTCTTTCACACACATGCACACACACTCAAACACAGACACACACACTCAAACTAATATTCTCTTGCTCTCTCTCCTTATCATTGTCTTTCTGTCTCTTTTATGTACACACACACACACACACACACACACACACACACACACACACACCTTATTGCACTAAGTGACTCTCAGACAGTGTATCAATCTTGTGTGTGTCTGTAGTCTTATAAACTAAGTATTATGTGGCCTAACACTGTATATAAGCACAGCGTGTGTATAATGGGATATCTTTAAAAGGGAAAAAGTATTCATAATAATAATAATTACAATAATACTTTTAAAAACAGTGCCTTAACCCCCCCCCCCCCCCCC